AAATTAATTTAAAAAATCGCGTTTAAAATTTACTTGTGGTAATGCATTATTTCATCTGAATGTCGTTCATAAACATCTAACGCCTACTATTTTACTTCTCACGCACACATTCGTAATGGTTCGTCGGTCGGAAAAACCTTGTGAATTGAATCGCATACAGAGGAGCGCGTGCACGCGTAGTTGTTACCCATAAATAACATTCCATTTAGAATAATTCCAAATAAAAGTAGAAGCCTTATTCACTCGTGTTTTCAATAACGGTATATCATTACTTAATATTTGAACTTAAATATAAAATTTTGACACTCTTTTAAAAATAACCCTGTATAATTGACATATCTTGTGAAGAACCTCTGCATGAATAGATCGTTAAATTTGCCGCAAAAATAGAAAACTGATGAGAGTCTTTATACTTATCATAGATGGTGGAAGATGATAAAAGATAAAAGATAGATTTTATTCATTTTCATTACTTTTTGTGATGAAAGGCCACACAGAAGCAGTATAGTTTAAAAATAAAAGTCAATATTGGTTAGTAATTATCTCGTAATCTTTCTTAGATGTGGTGGTAATTAAGGTCTTATAAATATAAATTGATATACACAGTTCTATATCTCTGTAGAAATGTACAAATTTCCGTACGTATTTATTGCACAGTATATTTCAAATAGCTAATTCGAAACAAAAACAGTAAGAACTGATTCGGCGGATTGAGTTATAAAATCTATTGAGATAAGTCTGCGACTATCATTGTAGATACAGTTAAAAACAAACAATAAAGTATAAAATAGTTTAAACGTACTTTTTAAACAATGCATTTGTGCCTCGTGACAAAACGTACTTGTAAATGTGCTTTAGAATACACACTAGTTACAAAGAGTTATGAGCACTGTCTTTACACATGTACAATGGTCGTACATGTCTACTGACTTGGGCTCCTGTTGTTATGAGAATTTGCTCAAACACGTTTTGGAAACTGATTGATGACAGCAATTACAGGTGTTTCGCACCTTAACGGTACTTCCCTCGCCTGTATGACTATTTTATATCTAATATTAATAGGCTAGGCTAGCTGAACTTTCGCTTAGATAGATATGTTGTATAGCACCCCACAAAGTAAACATAATACTAATGCAATATAATATGATACGGTCTAGTTATTTTACGTTTGGTGTAAATGGCTTTTTTATATGAATTACCGTTATTATATAGAATACAATTCAACATAAAATAATATTATTTCCTTACGTGTCATACCTGCTATATTTATAATAAAATATTAATTTGTATATTTTTGCGCTTTTTCCCGAAGAAAAATGTTAGCAAAAATAATTTGTAGAAAAAACTTCTTTTCCTGTAACCAAATGTCAATCTCAAGCTTTATCATTTTTTCACTAAACGAAAAGATTTAGTGAAGTTCGTATTTTATTTGTCATTTTTCTTATATTTATTTAACAGTTTATTTATAATATACATTACGTATTCAAGTATAATATTTTAATAATATTATTAGTAGAAAAATCAGAAGAAACAGTGTTTACATTGAAAGGAACCAAATTCTTTTGTTTACAGGGAAATGTTAAGATTTATGCGAGATCCAATTACCATAATAACGTAATTATTTTGATATGCTTATTTCTTGATTTATTTATTTAGTTTCAATTTTAACTGCAATTACAGCCTACTTACATACTTCTCTTAACATCCGCCTTTATTTCTTTTTTCCTCTTTATATCCTATTAAACTTCTTGAGAAAACAACTAAACTTTCATTCGTAGTGTTTTATATGCACATAAATCGTATACACTGTTCAGAGTTCAACACGCTTTAAACCTGCTTGATTTTGAGAACGGAAAGTGTAGTTTGAAGTGCAGGTACAGTTTGTAAGTACCTTCATTGAAAAAGATTACAAGTTTGTTCAACCTTATTTCAGGAAGATATTTTAATGATTTATTGACTTTAAAAGTTATTTTACAAGTGTGTGATTTGCTTTCAAATTCATACAAAGACAAGTGCTTTGAATTAATAATTTCGAGCTTTGGAACATTTATAGAGCTTATAAATATACCCATAATCGATAAAATTAAACAGATTTTGTACAAATCAAATTCAACTTTATGGATATTTGTGGAAGCTTGGTGAAGATAAAATAAAAGAATCGACATCAAAACGTCGAATTTCAATTCAAAATGAATCAGTAGACACACTTATTCCACAAACATCAAATTATTAATTGATTCCTTAATTTGGAGAATTAATTTTACAGAACATTACTAAGCGAAGCTCTAGTTTAAATTTATTAATATTCAAACCAGTAATAGGAGTGGCGTCTTAACCCGTACGTGAACGATACTAACGAACCCTGATTTTACGTCAAACTTTACCAACTTAGTAAAGTCTTTATGATAAAAGCATATTGTATTATGGATGAAGACTTGGTCATTTTTGTTTTTCTATATTTATTTTATTATTTTTCTATATATATATATATATATATATATATATATATATATATAATCAAAGGCCACAGAGTAAGGTCCTGCGCCACGTGCGTCCATCTACTTTCTGCGTCTCTTACCAGGTCAATCGATCAACTGTGGGGTCGTCCGACATTTTACTTTACTGTACGAGACTGCCACTTAGTAACCATTCTTCTTCATCGTTTGTCAGTTCATCGTGCTATATGGCCATCGTTCATCGTGCTAAGTAGCAATGGGCTATTGCCACTTTAGCTTACTGATCCTTTGGGCTATGTAAGTTACTCTGATTCTACTAAGAATACTCATTGCAAAGTCTATCACACAACAAATCTCCGAGCATAGACCTCTCCAAAGCCGAGCGACCTTGAGCTTCCTCATCCGACGAGAAGTGAATAATAACGTTTCAAATCACGCTGCCCAGCCGAGTGAGATAAATCGATTTTCTTCTGGTGCACTTACCTACAACTTCGACCTTCAATCGAGTTGGAAAATTTGTCTGACTAACTGTATGTATGTGTATTACGGCAAATTTTACGATTTCGTCGAAATTTCAGCGGTGCTAAGTTAACTGTCGGTACATCAAAGTGCTGAAGTGTTTGTACAGTATGGCTACGATGGTTATTCGAATACATAACCACAGTACGAAATCTATTCGACTGCAAAAGGGTGTAAGACATGGTGACGTAATTTACCCGAAACTCTTCACCGCTCCATTAAAAGACGTTTTCTAGGTACCGGAATCTAAATGAGATGATATAAACATCAATTTCAAAAACAATCACTTGATTTGCTGACGATATAGTCATTATGGCAGAATCGCTGAAGAGCCTGAGCACTGCTCAAAACCCTCAATAGTGCCTCTCAACGAATAAGTATTAAAAACAAACTATTACTTTGTGCTTCGTAAATAGTGGCCGAAGTTCACCTACAATGCTACAACCATATTGTTCTACGGTGTTATGTTTATGTAAAACACAGCAATGGTTTTGTCGTTAGTATTAATGGAGGTAATAATAATGTAGTCGTCTAAATAGTTTTAGATAGTGACAAGTGTTGTCGCGGTTGCTTATCTATGATGTGTATTTATAACGAATATACGTAGCACTAGAAATACTAGTGTAATGAATAGCGTGGCTGTGATATACAGTGCAATTTTTAAAAAAAAATACAAATGTTACTAATGATAAACATGATGTAAATACAAATTTTGTATCGTGTCAAACCACGTCGGTTTGTGAGAAAGAATTTGTACGTCCGGGAAAGCTTATCAAAATTTCACTACTAGGCCCCCCCATACATTGCCTCATAGAATATGTGTCTAGTTGCCACGATTGCAGCGGGTGTGACATGCGAGTTGACAACGCTAGTAATATATAAGTCAATGGTTGAGAACCGATTTATTTTTTATTTAGTAGTTATTATTTTTCTTCAACCGCTAATGTTACCTACAAGCTAATGTTACCTATATTTTATCTCCTGTTGCATTTCCCTCCGTCGCCTCTTACTATACCCGCGGGATGATATGGGATTCTCCAATACCAGCACTACATGACTAAAGACATACTGTTAGTACTGCTGTTTGTTGAATCTTTTTTAGTTAAAGATTAGCGATCCGCCCCGGGTCGCACAGGTGATTTCTGGAGCTCGACAACAGTGTTACCTACCGGGTCCAATTGAGTTTATAAACTATCCAGGAAGTCACACAAAAAAGTTCATCATAATCTCATAACTCTTTTACATGGTAGAGCCACGTTGCAGCTATATGATAGTTGTAGCACGAATGAGTCGGCTCGACCGGGGCCACGCTCTTACAGAATACCAGCGTAAAATAGCAGCTGAGTGCTGCTCTGCTTCATATGGTGAGTGTAGAGAACCGGATACCCTTTCTACTGGAATCGAGGCATTCCGTTCTTGTACTAAGGGACAACGTATTTGCATTTTAAATAGGGACAAAATGTAAGAGGATAAAACTAGATGTCTATGGTCCACAGCATCCACTTACCATCAGGTGGTGCTATTTTGTCACCCAATGCTGTAAAAAAATTCAAATGATAATCAAATCAATATCATATCCATCTTTATGTGTATATTAGCATTACTTATGATTTCTTATATGTACGCGAACACTACACATTCAATAAAACTATTTTTACGGATTTTATCGTGTTTTACTTATTTTTTATTCCCCGTAACCATGAGTGCTGTAAAGCACCCGAAACCTTGGACGTGCTTCATGCTGCAGTTATATTACGGTTGAAGACGAATGGATTTGCTGGACTGGGGAAAGAACACGCTCTCACAGAATATAAGCGTAAAATAACACTTTAATGCTGCTGTGTTTCGTATGGAGAGTGTAGTGAACCGGAGACACATTTTAGTTCTTAATCGAGGACAAATTCAGATTTCTATGGGGCACAGTATCCACTTACAATCAGGTGGATTGTGTGCTTATTTGTTACCATTATTCTATAAAAACAATCCGTAAAAAATATTTTTTATATACTTAAGACCCTTGCAAACCTTATACGTTGACAAATTGTGAACAGTGCAAGCCATAATAGCTTCACGACCAAGTGGTGCCGTCACATTTGCTATAGGAGCGCTGAATCCCGGTTCATCTGGAAAAAAATTACGTTGAGATTAGACGGTCCGTAGAGGCAGTGAATAAGGATTTGGTTCCGGCGCAGAGAGCTGCACAGCGCAAGAGTTTGTATGATCTAATTATATTGTATGTATGAACTCATTGTACCAAATCTAAAATCCAGAATCTGGGTTCTTTATCCATATGCTATCAATGTGTGTATGTAAAACGCCTTCATGGTACAGCAGAAACCCATTTTAGCGTAACGTTATAAAGTATAATAAGAAATAAGAAAAGATACACTATAAAACTTCATCGCTTTATATACTTTACTTTAGTAATTCATATATTATACTTTAATAATATGTGAAATTTTAATACCTACTATGTTGCAATACGTGGGCAATACTCTGATGTAGTTCATGACTGCATCATTGTTGAATCAAAATCTAAGCTAAACCATTAATGTAGATGAGTTAAACAATATGCTATAGATAGACTCACTAATTACTACTGAGAAAGGAGTAATCTTTAAGTGGAGTACATCCACTTAAAGATTAGAGGTTGAGTAAATCACTGGATGTGTACTCGTACTATAATGGATCGCAATTATTAATTAATTTTTTAAATTAAGATTTGGACAAATCAAAGTTACGTTAATTTAAGTAGCAAAAATCTTGACATTCACCTGTAAATATGCAAATTAAAGACTGCAGTACAGTGCGACTATAGCACAGTGCTTGATTTGTAGATATAACTTTTCAAAAAATATATTACCCTATTGAAAGACAACGTACTCTACCGCATATATTATTATTTATCAAAGTTTATGACTTATTATTTTGAAATATAAATTCTTAAATTCAAAATTTGTATTTTAAAAAGCCTTAAAAAGTGTCTTTTAAATAGCCAACTAAAAGAATTGGTAAGATTAAAAGTACATAGGCTAAACTAACTCGCATATGTATTGATAACATAGCCCCACGTACAATGACACTAGCAAATTTAAATTAGGCAGACAATTGAAAATAGCTATCAAACGTTCTATGAAATCATGTGTAAAAATATTTACAAAGGTTCAGTCTGAATAGACGTACATTTTATTGATATTTGATCTTATCTCTGCATCAAGATGAGACGTTCTCTGTGCCTCGAGAGAATAAATCGAGGCAGCGTTGTGGAAACCAATTATCTAGATAATATAGCTAGTAAAGTTAAAGATAATAAACTATTCGATAAGAACACATTAAACACTATTATTATAAATTAAAGTATTTTTTTTGCCCGTGAGTGACCAACATTTTTTTTGCGAATTTAGGGATTTTTAATAGGACATGACAAAGGGTCGTTGAAAAAGGCAGAACAAAGTCTGCCTGACAAGCTTATATATATATATATATATATATATATATATATATATATATATATATGGCAGTGTAAGAATATCCACTAATTCTACTTTATTCTACTCTAAATGGAAACAAACCTGAACATGGACAGCACCATCTTCCTAATAACGATTCAAAAAATAAAAACTACCTTTGCTAGACAACCTAAGCGGGTCAACAACAGCAAATATAACTTTATAAGGCAGTCTATGGGAAGGCCTTCGACCTACACAGTGACTGTCAACTCCCGACGATCTGTGAATACTGCAAGGAAATGTCTCAGCGCCATTTTGAGAAGGCCGAGAGACATTCCAACCCGTTAGTGTAAACGCAGGTACTTACGCCCCCACTTCAAACGTTACGGAAACTCTCCGGAGGCCCCGTAACGTTTTAATTGAACCCTCTGTTTCGCTAGATTCCGACGTCCCAAGTGTCGCCGGCCATTCACACACGAACACTACACACTAACCCAGTGCAACAAACACAGTTAGTACATCTGGGACGCAGCGAGTCCGCAGACGGACGCGCCATGCACCCCATCACATCGCGTACACACCATACACCCGCGTCGCTGTGCGGTTCTCACCGCTCAGAACATCGAACGATAGAAGCTAGCTGTCAGAGCTGGGGCCCGCCACCCCCGGTTCGGACCGTTAGATAACTCATCTACATGCACATTCAAGTGACGTAGGCGAGCAAGACACTTTTAAATGTTATATTAAGCCCTGGGACCTATGAAGCTGTAAAAGCCGCATAGGCTAACAACATCAAAATTATTGAAACCAGTCGTGTGTGAAGGCCTATGTTCTTAGAAGACTGATAGGCTGTATTGAATGAATGCATATATTGAGAGACATATTTATTTACCCAAGACGTTTTCTATAGAATATTTGTGCCTTAACCAATAACCATTCAATAATTAAAAACAAGCAGCCACACGCAATTCACTAAACTTAAACCACTATTAATGTAATTTATTCAAAAAAATCATAATAAACGTTTTAAAACATTTATCAAAAGAATTTGCTAAAAAGTAGCCGGAGTTATATACCGTGTATGTGAGATAATACATAATTATGAATGAATTTGGTTTTTAATAACCCTTTTAAGTAATTGAATTCCTTGAAAAGGGATTCATACAACGAATGAAAAATAATTTTCCATTTGTTTCAACCATTACCGAATATTATATTCGTTAAATCTTCATTGTGGCAAATGAAAGAAATATCACAGATTTGAGATATATTTTTACATATTTAACCGACTTTACCAAAAGACACTTTAGTATTGTTTATTTATTCTTTTAATATTTATCATATACCCATAACTAGCACTTGATAAAGGTGGAACTTTAAAAGAAAAATGCAATGTTTTTCATTTTAAATATAAAACAATCTATCACTTAATAATAAAGCCAGTCTAAAGTATTTATAAATGGTGTTTTTATAGTTGATAATGTTAAAGCTCGGCTTGTGAAACTTCCGGCGTTGTCACTGACAAATTACGAACGTTCCCCGCGCCAGTCCGTGGCTTCGCTAATTGACTGCACGTCAAATTTAACCGCGATAATCCAAATATAGGAGGGTTAAATTTTAATATACAACCATTTATAGTTTCAATCGTATCTAGTAACAATGTGGCTTTAATTTAAGTTACACAGATCTATAATTTTAATAAAAAGTGATTTAAAGAACTTGCAATACTGGTAAATCATTTTGAGCGTTAAATAATTATAAAATTAACAATAAAATTTTAGTATTGATTTTTTGAGTATTTTTACAGTTAGATCCTATATACGTCTCACTACTGGGCACAGGCGTCCTCTGATTTCTAAGAGGGTTTCAGGGCAACGAATATTTAAAGATTATTGAAAAAAATAAAATCAAAATAAACCCTATAAAAGCTTTTGTCGTATTTAATTATCGCTTTAATAGCTACATATGTATTATCAATTATTTTATTATATCTCAATAATGCATTTACTGAGAAGGCCATTTAGTACAAGTTTAGTGATTTATTTGTATTACATGTGTGGCATTATTATATCTTCATAATATTTTTGTTTCCCATATTCTTAAGTACCATCGCCCTGATTGATATCAACAAAAAATTTTATTCATATATTTAATTAAAAATCAAACTCACGTGTTGTCGCCCCCGTTCCAATCAACAAATAATCCAACCAAATTAATGCCAAAAACATTTTCGAGTCCTCCTTATATACAAACTGACAATCAATCAAATTACAATCAATCAAATAAAGGATAGAATGTTTTTATTAACTATATTTTTAAGTAAAACGCATTTCTACTTTATCCATTAGCCTTGTTTGGGCGCCAATTTGCTGCTAATGATTGTCTAGTTTTCAGAATTCTTTGGTGTTACCTATTTTTATATTAAACTGAGGTCAATATAGAACAAAAAGACATAAAAGTTTCTTAACTAAACTATTTAAGCATGGGTCTAGCAGTCACTTCAGTAATGTACTGCTCAAAACATTTTTAGCTATAAAGCACAAAGTAGACGCTTTACGGATTGCATTCAACACACGCGAGGAAGTGATTAAGGGGGCGGTCAACTTTAGTACTATGTAATACTTTCACGTGAAAAGTTTGAAACACCACTTCTTAGTACTGAATCGCACGCGACCGTCTCGGGGAAAAGCTCGAAGACAACTGGTGCAAATGACTTGCACCGGCGCGCGGCTTCGGCACCTCCCCTTTAGCCTTCTCTTTCACGTGTAGACACAACTCATAGAACAACCCTTCGATAATAATCTTCAGAATATTATGTCGTACAATTTCACCAGTATTGTGACATAAATATTGAATTAAAATAATTTCAAAGCTAACTCGAAAGAAATGTAAATATCGGACATGACGCAATAATTACGTTTGTATCATCTTTCGATTTAGAAGTAGAAATTTACTTCATAATAGTAAATCCAAAATCCTTTGTTTTACTTTAATGTCAATTTACTTAAATATATTAAACGAAGACTTCATATAGCGCTACGAGAATAAACGGAAAGAAATTACGTTTGGATTTTCTACGATTAAACACAAAAAATACCAATATAATTTTAATAGCATGCATCAATGGTGTCTAATAGCAACTGTGTAAATGGAAGTGAGCTTTGTTATCTAATCTAAGAAAATTATGTTCTTCGATACGAGTTCATCGGGATCGCTGTCTAAGAAGCTAGACTAGAGCTTCTCTTTAATCTAATCTTTCTCTTCTCTTTAATCTAATCGTTGGAGCGTTACAGATCGTGATACCGGATGAGAATACGGAAAGGTGATAGCAAGTATTTGTTTGGCTCACTAAAGTGAAAATAATTGCTTAAAATGCTTGCATACAAATTGTAATCTAAAAGCCTATTTGGAAAACGGGTTCATTTCCTTAATTTGACTTATATATGTGAAAGTGTTGTAAGAAGATTCATCATCTCATCTCATAAAACCTGTGTTCATATTATCTGATGAAAATAGTGAGCGTTTTCAAAATTTTCTTCAAAAATTGGCTAGATTTACAATTCCAAGCAGCGTCTAAAATATGAAACGTCTGGTTATGTAATCGTCACTTCACTTTTTCAAGCGTCTTCAGCATACCTTTCCCACATTTAGACAGCAATTTTCTCTTTATGATTCCGTACATCAGACGGTAAGCAGCGGAACCTTTCTGTCTATCTACGGGTACCCTTTATCTCAGATACGAATAGAGTTATCAGTTAAAATTAAAATTTAAAATCTACTATAATGTCTACGGTCCCTTGGAGATTTAAAAAAAATTTGACCTTCTAAGTGAAAGAAAATAAAGATACGACCAAACAACAATACAACAAGAAAAATGTTATATATATTGATACTCTTTAAATTACTCATTAAAATCTTCAAAAAATAAGATATAAGCACTAGTAATAAGCACTAGCATAAGGGAAAATCTGAAAATCGTTATTTTGTCCTCTATTACTAGAAACAAAGCATCCATCTTAGTCCTCAGGGGTGACAAGCCATTCTCCATTTTGACTCTTAATCGATGATCAAAATCAAAATAAAATCAAAAATATTTATTTCATCAAAACACGTATATCCATACAACATTCATTGTTGGAGATGCCTAGAAGCATATATATGTACTTGTGACAGGCAGCTTCGCCTTTTCATGATGCTTACATACTATACGTTGGATATTTCGAGATGTATGTTTTTACCAGATCGCGGTTTATGAGTAGATACAAAAGAAACACTATTGTTATAAATCATAATATTCATGGATTGGGAAACCTGAGCTGACAACATTTTAAATTAAGTTTTATAATAATTAAGTACATAGGTAATATGGGAGAGATCGAAGAATATAATCACCGATTTCTTCCACACTAAAACGATTCAGTAGTTTAAAATAAATATAAATATTTAACCTAACGATAATATAAAAGCATTTTTGTTTATATTTTATGTAATTACAGCTGTCGCATAGACCAGTGGCTGTAAGCTACAAATCATACAGCCACTAATTCACACTGAGAGAAGATCTTCTGTGTCAGTATAACATAGTGGCTGCAACCAATCAAATAATTTATTTTACAGTCTCTTAATTTTAAAGGATATATTTCAATTATTTTATTAATTTCATTTTATAGGTGAGCCAATTGTATTTTGTAGTGTCGTTTAACTGATTTTGTTTTAGTTTTCTGCAAGTTGCAGCGGACTTCACAACTTGAGATTTGCTTAATACTGAACACCTCAGTGATGACCTTGACGAGCTTTTGACCTTGTATTAATTAGTGCTCGTTATTCTGTGGTATTCGGATACGGTAATTTACAAAACACTTCAACCATTTTGTGGCCAGAGCCTCGTTTGCTGAAATGCAACACCATGTAGATTAAGAAAAGAAATTATGACAACCACTACAGCACGATCACTAAATTTATTAATTTACTTGTTTTATCTTCATGGGAAACATACATAATTAATAATGCAATAACACATATTAATCTTACATTTAACAATAAAATTTCCACAGTTAATTAACGCATCGACCACAAGCGAACATCATGACATACTTAGGTGTGTAAAAACTAAAATTAAGTCAAAGTAAAGTGTTATATTAAAGTGAAATATTAATTTAACTATCAATTTAACTACCAACTATTGCAGTTTCAATTTCCTTTTTAAACTGTCCATATAACAGAGAAAATATATCAACATGTGAATAGTTGTTATTATAATAATTACGTGCACGAGTTATAAAATTGTTCTTGCCATACTTTGTGCGCATAGTAGAATTACAAAATAAAAGTTTCTTTCTAGCACTTATCCTTTGGCACCTGAATTTTATTTCACTTAGAAGTGGTTTAGCAATTTAAAGACAATTTATGTCTTAAATTTAGGGCACTTGTCACAAAAATATATATTTTGGGCAATAATGCTGCTGATTAAAGATTATCAAGGCAGAAAACACACCAGCCAGCGTTTTCGAAGAGTTATATATTATAGTTATATATTTATTATAGTTATATATATAAGAGTTATATATTAGTTATATATACATTATTTTAGTTTATAAATATTTTATTAAAACTTTTGTGCATTCAATTATTTCTATATATGTACACACAAATTACAAATATTGTATCCTATATAATATATGACACAATAATATTTTTAAGATGGACATTTTAATGAAATGTATTCAGCGCTATTGTAATGATGTAAGTACCTGGTTTCTAGTAACAGGCTAAGGCATAAAATTTATTTCACTCCGGGTAAGTACTACCCCAGCCAGCCGGCGCCACAGAATTGAATTCTACGAATCGTGGGGCTTTTCCTTGCAACCCCACAGGCGGCTTTTGAAGAACCATTAATATTAATCCGAATTCCTAGCAGCGTAAGTGTCACTTTCATAATTTTCTAGAATACTGAATATGAAAATCTAATTAATTGTGGTATTTTGGTGAGACACTGACAAGAAAATCCTGCCTAGTCACTAGACCATCGAGGCAGGATTTTCTTGACTAGACTCTAGTGGTTGTAGTAATGCTACTGCTGATTATGGGGTCCCGGGTTCGAATCCCGGGTCGAGCCAATAAAAAATGTGGTTATTGAGTTTTTCATCAAGAAATTCTCAGTCGGAGTCTGGAAGTTAGCAGTGTCTCACCCCCGTGCCTCGTACAGCACGTAAAGCCGTTATTTCTGCGCCTGATCTCTCTCCGGTCGTGTCAGTTTTCCGTCCCATCGGACAATGAGAATGAGGTAATAGAGAATGCACATGTGTTTGCGCATACACTGGGCACTATAATCCTGTTCTGCGCCGATGGCTAGTCTCCGTTGCGGCTGGCCGCCGTGGCCGGAATTCGGTCTGGAGGACATTATTATTATTAACTAGAAAATCATAAGATAGTTAGTATAGATCCTATTCTGCTTAGGAGTTCATCTTTGCTGGTTCCTATCTACTACATATGGTGTTTCAATCTCACCCAATCTTACGTGGGGGAGAGGGATTTCCGCCTCGCTGCCCCAATGCATGTTGGCAAACTTTACATGCCTTCGAAATATTTTTTTATTCCTCAGACATGCAAGTTTCCTCAGGATGTTTTCATTCACCGCCAAGCACGTGGTAAATCAGCACTTAAAATTGCAATTAACAATTTCATTGGTGCCGGCGGGGATCGAACCCGAGTTACTCGCGTTTTATTATATTTACAGCGAGCGTTTACCATCTGAGCTACCATTCTGTCCATCAGAGATGTGGGGAGTGGGTGAAGGGGTAAAGCCATATCTAATGAAATCTCACCAGGGGGAGGGAGAAAAATCGCCAAAATCACATCATGTAATTAACGCACCTTAACCATTGCTGCGTTTTGTGTTTATTTTTGTTCCCAAGAGTCAAAGAAAAAATAAAAGGCAAGTTTTTTCAAGTGCCGAAGAAGCCGTGGCTACCTACGAAGAAGTGATTTCCAACATGTCAGATCAATAATGGCAAAAGTGTTTTTAGAGTTGATTTAGGTGAATGGAACTTTGTATAGAGCATGATGGAGAATATTTTGAAAAGATGTAAAATAATAATAAAAGATGTAAATAAATATATATATATATATATATATATACTGTGTTTGGGTTATTAAATTATACGCGTAATAAACAAAAATTATCAATTAAAATTTTCAGTAAATAAAAAAAGAACGACTAAAAAGACAA